ATGGTGCTGCTGGTCCTATATACTGTAAAGCCCTTCAAGGTGCAGGCCTGGATATTTTCAAGACCATCTCTCTCCAGTTGTTTCTGCCTGTCCTTAAGGTGAGACAGGTTGGTATGCTCTGGGTTCCTTCTCGGTCACCACACCTGCCCTTTGGAGATCCATATAGCCCTGATCTGCTGTCTTTTAGGAGGACCAGCTCTTTTTACAGGGACTGGGCTAAGAAGATGTGAGAACCCACAATGTGTTTGTAGGGAGTCTGCCTTCCCCTGCATGTTTTTTTTTTTTAAACGACTGTGATTCTTTTGTTTCTTTCTGTTTTGATATTTCAAATCCTTTTGCAAGCCCCTTTGTTGCTTAGTGAATGGGAGGCCTTAGAAAAATTTCCAGGAAGGCCGGACAATTTCTGTGTGAACCATCTTCTAGAAGATTTGAAACCCTTTATCACTTGTTCAGTAGGTAAATTCTATGTTGCTGCAAGGAAAACAAGGCATAACTGGTCTCAGAAATACCCACTTCTGTTTTATTCATTATTTTAGGTTTCATATGTTAGCTATCTTGTTTTAGGTGATATATACATACACACACACACACACACACACACTTCATAGATTGTAATATTTTAGATTTACACTTGGACAGGTAATTAACACACCATTATAGCAGTGTGTGCTATATTTTGTTGTTTTATCTTGGTTATGCTAGTATTTTATCTCATCTATTATTTTACTTTTGTGTTGTATTTTTTCAAATTTTGCTGAATTTGAAAATGAGCATGAACGGTATTTCATTTCATGTTCTGGGGCATCAGATTGGCCGTTTCTCCAGGAAATGACAGTTAAACAGTCTTATGTAAATCCAGTTCAGGTATATATAAGCATCTAGCTTAGCCCTCTAATCCACTAAGTCCTCACTTGTTCTGATAAGTGCCCCCCCCCAATCAGAACAAGAAAGGAATAATTGCTGAAAGATGTTTACTTGTAGTAAGGGTTCCCAGTTCAGAAGCAGGTGTCTTGCATGGGACAAAACCCAGTGCAGCAGTAGGCCTAAGGCACTAAGGAGCTGATGTGATAGGTGGGCTGAGGCTTTTATTTCTCGATCAGAAGCTCTTGAAGTTTCAGGCTGCTTCACTCACTATATTAATATTGAGTCTTTTGCCATAGCGTAGGATAAGGCAGTCATCTAAGCTGGTAGATTTTGGGGTGAATGAACCCATGGGTGTGGAAGATAAACCAGAGCACAAATCCATTAGATGCATTTGTGCATCTGTGTGGAGCAGATTTAAATGAACAAAAGCTGAGCGGAAGCGCCCTGTTAACGTAAGCTGTACTTGGTGCTCACCAATGTGCATAAGATCTGGATATGCCATTTTTATTTTTTATTTTTCTCTGGGTTGCACCTTGGCCTGGAGACATAAGGCCTACCCGGTCTTTTTGACACAAGAGGAAATAGGGATGTGCAGCACTTAAGATCTGAAGCCCAACAGATACTTCAGAGTGGGCATGGATGTGCATACCATACCTATTGGCACCTCCTTAAAGAAGCCGAGTCTTTTTATTTTTAATTTTTTATCCCACCTTTATTATGTTTATAAATAACTCAAGGCAGCAAACATACCGAATATTCCTTCCTCCTCCTATTTTCCCCACAGCAACAACAACCCCGTGAGGTGGGTTGGGCTGAGAGAGAGAGAGAGAGAGAGAGACTGGCCCAAAGCCACCCAGTTGGCTTTCATGCCTAAGGCAGGACCATCTCCTGCTTTCTAGCCTTGTGCCTTCACCTCTAGACCAAACTGGCTCTGTTCCTGTTTGCTGATTACCTGGGATTCAGAAATCCTTGCAGCTCATGGAGATGGCTTTAAGCATCCTGTAATGCTCACTTGGCCCAGACATCTTCAGATAGGCTATATGCCCGCCCACTCTTTTCTTTTTCCTGCCAGGCTGAGGGCAGAAGCTTTTTTCTTACTGGAAATTCTCTACACGGTGCTTCATATTTTCCCATGTTTATCTTGGGAAAGTATACACTGTTTGCCTTCTTACAAGCATGGTGAAACAATGAAAACAGGCTGTCTTCGTTTTCAGCTGTCTGGTCCCCCCCCCCCAATTCTTTTATTAATTAACTACAAAAAACAAAGAAAAAAGAATACACAAATTATAAAATAAAAGCTGAAAGAAGAACATACAGGGCATAGACTCACATACGTATATAAAGTTGTTCAGTGCACATTTCAATGAATGGGAATCATAATTCACTATAATCATCCATAGCTAATCTATATTGATAAGTTATTGATTCGTAAATTGCTGCTGACATCAATTCCGCGGACCACTGAATAGTTGGAGCCACATGTTTGTCTTTTCAGTGCTGAACATTAAGTCATATAGCTGTAAGTAAGGTACAGAAAATCCACTTTCTTTGTCCAGATGTCAACTCCTATGTGATAGGAATAAACTTCAAAAGAATAGGAACATCTGAAAATACTGAATCTCAATGTTGAGTTAATGCATGTAATAACTTCTTTCCTAAATGGAACCATTGTTGGACACTCTAGAAACATGTATTTAAATAAAACATGAATTTCATTGCATCTCCAGCAACATAAGCATTTACTCAGGCCTTTTCTATGTAAAGAGAGCCAGGTGGGTGTAATGGTTAAAGCACCAGGCTAGAAACTGGGAGGCACTGAGTTCTATTCCCGCCTTAGGCACAAAGCCTTGGGCCAGTCACACACACTCAGCTCTAGGAAGCAGGCAAGGGCAAACCACTTCTGAAAAACCTTGCCAAAAAAACCGCAGGGACTAGTCCAGGCAGTTGCCAGGAGTCAACAATGACTCGAAGGCATAAAAATTCAAAAAGATTCATTTAAATGCAATGAAGTCATTTCTGAAATACTATTTCTTGTTGAAAAAGATGTAATCTAAAATAGATTGAAGTTACTGGGGTTTTTTTTTCTTAATGTTAAACAATTTCAAGTGTCTGTTATGTGTCAGGACAAAACAATGGGGGAGATGAATAGGTGGGAATGGATTTAAACTTGTAAGTGTGTTGTGATGCTAATGATAGTTTGAAAAGCTAAGCAGGTTTGGGCCTTGTCCTACTTTGACCAGGAACTGGCAGGAAATATCAGAGTCATAGGTTAGACTGGGAAGCAAAATAAGATTTTAAAACATCCTAGAAGAAGGCAGTAGCACATAATTTCCCTACTTTTCCAAGAAAGCTATATGGATATATCAGTGAAATCACCAGGAGCTGAACTTGACTCAGAGAAGACTGCAGCTTTTTCCATAGGGAAAGCTTTAGTAGTTGTTCATGGGGGGTGGGAAGGTCTAATTATTTGGCTGCGTTCACAGATCATGTTAACTCATAACATGATTTGGTTTTCTTTAATGTGTTGTTCATATCAAGACATTGTGAATTATTCAACATTAAACCATGACTTAGCATGAATGAGTTCTTTTCTCTCTCAGGCCCAACAAAAATGTCTTGTAGAAGCTTTTCTTTGAATTGTGTGAGACGCTCCCATTGGCATTCATTCATTTTTCCTCACAGGGGACATAATAGCTTCAGAACAACATTTTCTCTGAAAGAGGGATGGGCAGAGTTCATGCATCATGTCAAGTCATAATCTGTTTTGTTTGGACTTAATGTATTATGTGAATGTAGACATTGTAGATTGTAAAGCAGTTAGGGTCACTTGCAGTATGCTCAAACCGTGGTGAGTGAATAACAGCTTAGCACATGGTGTGAAATTAGCTGGAAAGTTAAATTTCTTCTTCCTTGTCACCCCAAGTGGCCAAATCTCTCCATGTACTCCTACTTACTAAAATGTGCACATCTTATAGGGGCTCATAAGAATGAACGGTGAAGTGTCGCTGAGAAGAAATCAGCGTCTTGTGAGCTGGAGATTGTAGGATGCAGTTCAACCCCACAGCGTCATCGTCACCCCATAGCTTCATCCTGGGTGAAGTCGGCCTACTGTTGTGTTTCTTTCACCATCCCAATCAGCTTCTGAACTGGGTGGAGTGAGAAACCTTTTAAGTGACTCATGGACAGAGTGTCAGTATGATGGCACATTGCCTGTACTGCTTACTAGTTACCCTCTAGTTTAATTCAAGTTGTTGATCTTTAACAGAAGGGCACAGTATATTTTGGGAAATAGCGCTCTGAGAACTGCGGGATGAAACTCTATTACAACCCCTCCAAACCTGGCACAGGTATTGGGTTGGGTTGTTGTGATTCCTAAGCAACGTGGTGGTGAAGGGGGAAGGGGTGCTGTAATTCAACGTACCTGGCAGGGACCTGGCTGGGAAAGGTGGTGCTTTGTGCTCCGTCCTTCAGGAAGAGACTTTATGGTCACGCTTAGGGAATGGTAGTGATGGTGGACCATTTCCCTTGGGAGCCTTCCCAGCCCCCAACTTTCTTGGAATTTTTCTGGAGGGTAAAGATGTCCTTCTCCAAGTAAGATATCTTTTTAACCTTACTTTGATTTAGCTCTGATGAGGATTTCTTCGTCTGTTTTGCCTTTTAAGGCTCCCACTTTTTCTTGATGCAGTTGCTTTTAAGCAGATTTTTTTTAAGTTGTGTTTTTGTTTTGTTTTGTTTTTTTAGTCTGGGGCCCTTGTGATTTATATCTGGCTCTAAAGCATCTGTAGTGTTTTATGGGGAAGTATATCAACTGGTAATTGCTGGCTAACTGTGTGATGTAGTTGAGCTAGGAAATCTCGAGAGAACCATCATATCAGTCTTTATGATCAACTGATATTTCTGTTGTGCAAACTAATGCTATAAAGTCATTATTCTGCTTTTCGTTTTAGAAAGTTAACCGTCTATAGAATTTTATTTCTAGATTTTTTTTTCACTTATATTGGTTTTGTTCCAGGCTTCCAGTCTCAGTTGCTGAAGTCTTAGTCCTCCATTGGCTGAATCTTTGAGTGTATAAGAATAGACAGTGCAAGAGTTGGCTTTGCTTAATAAACTATCTCCCGTTTATATTTCCTTTCCAGGTTCTGTTCAGCCCCACCGGCTCCTGGTCAAAAGTCTCTCCTCAGAACCCAGTCCTGAACATCGCTCACCAGAAGCCCCCCAGCGGCTTGTCTCGGATCCAGGACCTGACCACAACGAAGAGGAAATTGCCAAGCTCCGACCACTCAAGCGTCCCCCAGGACCCAAGCCACAAGGTATAAGCTAGGCTTCTCCAACCAGTTCCCAGAAGCCTGTGGTCCTTGGCATGCTGGGTTTGAATTAAGAGAGCTGAGATCAAATGCTTCTAAAAGGCATTGGGTTGGAGAAGGTTTTGCTGCTTCTTCCTTGAGCCCAAGATGAGGACACTTTTCATGGAATTTGCCGTGAATGCTGCTGGAGAAGAAAGCTGACTCTTGATGCCTTTCCAGTCCTGGACTGTAGAGCACAGAGTGAAGCCCACCACTCTGAGGCTGCAGGCCATCTTCCCACAAGGCTTTGCACTAGCCCCCAGGATGTCTCAAAGGCTTCTGCTGACCAGTAACTTTTAACATGATGACAGAAGGGAAAATTACAAGACAGAGAAGGACAAATTTTCATAATTGCATTGAATGAATTTATTTTAATTAAAATTACATATAAGTTAATTTAGGTCAAATTGAATGTTTATCCTGACTCCACCCCATTTCTTTCTCCTGGACTCACCTTCTTTTTGAAATGCAGTCCCTGGCATGCCAGTTAAAGGTCAGCTGGAGCCCTTGGCTTGAAAAAAGGTTGCATACCCTTGTAGAGGAAGGGCCAGTTGTCAAACTGATCCTTCCAACATTGATATAAAAAGCTGATAATGCTAAAATCTAACTCAGGGTAGGTGCTGGTCCTTTTCAGTTTATAATGGAGTCCAGAGTCCAGGCTCTTCGCTCTGGAACAGGGGAGTTAGAAGGAGTTGCAGTGCTGGGGTGGGATGGGATGGGGGCAGCAGGGGCCAGATGATAAAAATGCCATCCCACAGAAGCAGTCATTCCATTGGTGGCTTCAGTTAGTAAAATGCATTGAGTGTGTGTTTTGAAAGAATGATTCCACTTCCTTTTCCAGTTCCTCCCAAGCCAGCTTATCTGCAGAATAGCCAGCCCCTACGGCTTCCTGAATCAATCCCCCCACCCCCATCACGACCCCTCCCAGCTGACCCCCGCCTGGGCCGCAGTCCTCTGCCGAAAGATGGAGTGGGGTCCTCATCTGCCGTCTCCTGCCTCATTGAGAAGTTTGAGAGGTATGTGCTTGACTAGCTTGTGAGATCCTGTTTCTCTCCTGTAGCTGAGTTGGAGGAGACACACATAATTGTAATGGAAGCATGATTTGTACTACTTTACTACTTGGCATCATTAGTTCATGGGAGGATTCCACTGTTTTGGGATATATTGAAATGACAACTAGTACAAAGACCTTTTTTAAATGACAGAGAAAACAATAAAGGCTAATTCTGTTCATGACTGATTAGATATAGTATCCATATTGAAGACAGTTGTACATTCATACAGCTTTGTAGTGTAGGTTTTACCTGTGGTACAATGCAGAAATAGATTTTAGGCTTCTGTGTTCTTCCCAGTCCTGTATAGATTTGACACCCATGTATTTAAATGCTTCTTTGATGTGACTTTATTCCTTTGATCCATCTACCAGTTATTTTATGGTGGTGGATTGTGCGAGCAGATTCTGCTCCCCTCGGCATCATGTGAAGAACCAGGTTCACGCTTGAGATAATTTGGGGTGTGTGGGAGGTTGCAGCAGCTTGAAGGTAAACACTTTACTGGATTTGAAGTGTCCTGGGTTTGTGCGAGAGAGAACTGGAGTACGGTAACCTTGATTTTAAACTAAATAGTTATGGATGATACGATGGTGCCATGCATGTTAGTTTTCTTAGGCTTTTGGCTGGTGTCTGTGTCAGAAGATAAAAAAACAAGGTGAATAGTTGGCCTGATCATGTGCAAATAATATTCTATTTTTAGACAAACACTGTCAGTGGTGTTGGGCACAAACTCCCTAGATTCTACCTACCTTTCTAGGGGAGATGGAACCTAGCAGATCTTGCCTGCATTGCTACTTAATCTAGCATCTGTTCTTGATTTCCTTCTCACCAACTTTGGCTGTCCTAATTGTGTTGTGTTTCTTTTAGGGAACCTATAATTCTGACATCTGAGCAGGCCCCCTCACCGTGCCCCAGCCCAGACCTCCAAGCCCTAGAGATAAATTCTATGGAACCCTCGCTAGATCGTCCAGCTTCATTGGAATCAGCAGAACTGTCTCACAAGCTCCTGGACCTCCTGGCATTGGAAGGAGGGCAAACGGCTGTAGGAAGTGCTGTCTGCTTGCCGCCTCATGATGGTGGGAAACTGGCAAACCGAGACAGTGGCATTGACAGCATCAGTTCACCATCTAACAGTGAAGAGATCTGCTTTGGGCCTGAGGAAGGTACAGGGGAGGGTGCTGGACCACTGGCGCCTCCAGCCATCATCAAGCACAGCTCAACCCGTGATTCTGAGGGGGACAGTGACATGGATGATGGCAGTGGGGATGAGGCTGAGCTGCTATCTGACCTTCCACCTCCACAGACAGAGAAGCAGGATTCTGATGAGGTAAGGGGCTGGGATTGCTATCCTGGGTTGAGGATGATGTCCCTTTCCCCATAGCTTCCTCCTGAGCCTGTACTTTTCTCTTTTCCTTAATATGATGCTCTTTGTTCTCTATTATGCTTTGGTATTAGACCTTAGTAAAAATGATGGAGATGGAAGAACACCTGTTAAAGAAATAGCAAGCCTCTGCTCCATGTTGTACGGATGGTTAGTGAATGTTCTGGCTTGTATTGCTTTCTGATCATGTAGGCTCAGGTTCTGAGGGCAGACTCAGATGGCCCAAAATATACCTACAGGCACCAGTAGGTCCACAAAACCTCATCAGTTCCTCACCATCTTTCCTGCCCCCATCTTTTAATTCTTTCAAAAAATATTCTCTTAATCCAAAACAAATTAAATGCCATGCTGAAAATCCCTGTAACATCTTTATGTACAACAGTGGTTCAGCGCTCGCATAAATCCCACAGGATTTAGGAAACAAAAATGGAAAAATGATGGATTGCTGCAGCCTGGTCAATTTCTTTAGTATCCCCTTCCCCGAATAAAGGAAGCCATAGTAATAGAGGACATTCTGGGAGTGGGGCAGAGTGGCTAGAATGGTTGGTGAAGTGCAGCCTCACCAGTCTGTCTTCTGGGGTATGAGGCCATTCTGGGAACAGGCAAGTCCTCCCACAGCAGCCATTTTAGAAGCGTGCCTGCAACCTGCTCTCACAATTCCCATGGGATCCCTAACCTCAAGAGATTGCCTGCTATTGGTTTATATTCACTCACAGGATGTAAAAGTGTTTATAATCCACTCTTAATGCCAGTGAGAGCTGAATGAAAGGATGCGTGCAGCATGTTTTTCCATAACCTTTGCTCAATTGTAATGAGTGGAAAGCTGCTCGAAAGGGAGGAGCAAAGAAATAGCTCCTGCTGCGAAACAGACAGAAGTCTGTGGTTGGTTTTCATAGCGCATCCTGATATCTGAGAAAATTGGAATTTGGTTCATTCCCTATAGCCAAGTGGCTTTCAGCTGGTCTTTTTTCTCTCCGCAACAGATGACAGTTCCACAAAAGGTCTTCCGAATTGCCAACGAGCTTCTCCAAACAGAAAAGGCATATGTATCTCGCCTGTATCTACTGGACCAGGTAACAAGAGTGATGTCTAGTATCCAAAAGCTGCTAGAATATGCACACTTTTTAAATGGAAACTTGAGGCAAACATAGCCTCTCTTCTGCAAGTTATGCCTGGTTGAGGAAATTAGCAGGCTGGTTAGGTACTGGGAGAATTGTGGGACGCACCCTTTCTTCTCCATCAGATTACATTCCATCTTACAAGCTATTAGAAATGGTCGTACAATAGATATTTAGATCTAGAAGATAAACTATGGGGTAGGGTTTGGGTAGACTTCTGCCAATTACTGATTATTCAGAAAGTTCCCAGGAGGGAAAGTGTATTGCTTAAGTGTGCCCTGCTTCATAGGTCTTCTGTGCCCGTCTGCTGGAGGAAGCACGCTGCCGAAACTCTTTCCCAGCTGATGTGGTGATGGGCATTTTTGCCAACATCTGTTCCATCTACTGCTTCCACCAGCAGTTCTTGCTCCCAGAATTGGAGAAACGGATGGAAGAATGGTGAGGAAAATTAATTGGGTTAGCATGGGGGTACAGCTGTACAGTTCTGGTTTTCTTTGTATGTTTATTCTTGTTAACATTGATTTGTTTTTCATAACCTGCCCTTGAGGTAAAAATGTTACCTGCTTTGAAGGAACTCCAAGCGTTTGGTGAGAGAGGTGCTGCATATTAAAAAAAAATAAAAATAAAGGTGTGTCTGTAGGTAAGGAGTGTTTTCTTCAGCTATTTGAGGTGATCTTAGGTTGCTGATCTGAAATACCCTATATGACTCAGTCAAGCCTTCTATATGAGGATTCTTTGCCAGCAAAACCAGCTCTACACTTCTGTGAGCCTACAGTGTCAGCTGTTTTCAAGAACTCAGCCAATTTATTTCTGGCTCAAATGTGGTATATTGGAAACCAATGTAAAATTTGTCTTTCTTTGAAATGAGATAGCTCTGTGGAGCTTGTGAGCAGTCTTGACTTTTGCAACAGCCCTCCCTGTTGTTAGCATTGCATATTCAGTAGAAGAGGATATGGTCTCTTGATCATCTCCAAACTACTTTTGAGTGGAAATTGTAGAAATGTGTAAGTGCCTGTATAGGTAAAAGAGACTTCAAAGGTAATTTAATCCAGGTTCTTGCTCAGTGCAGAATCTGTAATACAAGGCCCCTGACAGTGACCATCTAGCTTCTGCTTAAATATCTCAGCAGAGAAGAGTTCACTACTTCCTAAGACAAGTTGTTCTAGACATTTCAACTGGGATCCTTTATTTCCTTTCTGTATAGTGAGGCTCTCAAGTATTCTCTTGTCTCCTGCCTCTCAGCTGCCATCACCACCACTGCCTTGTCTTTTTCTAAGAGATCAGATTGATAAGCTTGATGCCTCCTAACTTTATCTTCTTTTTGAATGTTTCTGTTTTGCCTCCAGTTTCCAAGAAGACTTTGCCCTTTGTGACAAATCCTGCGCTGTCTAGCTAGCTCATCTTTTCCAACCTAGTATCCTCCAGCAACTTCCAAAATATGCTGCCAGCATGTAGTCCATGGTCAACATTCCTGTATCTCAAGGAGGGATTCTTGCCTTTTTAGACTTATCTTTGAATTGGTCATCTCTAAATCCTCATTTGTGTTTTTTTGTTGGTTCTTAAATGTAACCTGCTATGGGTTCATAAGCCATATTTTAAATTTGGTGAGGAATCTTCTGCTTTGGAGGAATTCATCCCCAGTGTATTTAGCTGTCTCCCTTTTAGCATTCTGTAAAACTGTAAAAACATCTTTATTCCGCCATGCCTTGAGCCCTAATTAATTGTGGATATTTAATCTAGAGTAGCATGGTTGGTCTCTTTTATATGTCTAATTTGTTGGAAACAGTGGGGCAGGTCACAAATATTGTAAAATAATAAGTAATAATTTCAGAAGGCTTTCATCTCTATTTTTTGAGATCAGAAGACTTGAGAATTACGAATCTCCCTAATATTAGTATTCTTGAGCTTTATTGAACAATTATTTACTGTAGCTTACCTTCTAGTTAACTTTTGAATGCTTTCCCACTTGATGACAATGTTTACACAATACTGTATTCTAAACCATGATTTGTTTAACCATGACTTACTGAACAAACGAATTTGTGCGGTTCTACACAATACACTAAACCATAGTTTCACAAACTAGACTGATTTAATTTGTTATACTATACAATAAGGAATCAGAGCACATTTTAGCTGGTATTTTATGTGGAACAGAACCAGTGAATGAAGAATCTCCTGTAGGCCTTGCTTCTGTGCTCCCTTTCCCTTCCTATATCTCTTTACTAACGTTTTTCCCAGGGACCAACACCCACGTATTGGGGATATTCTGCAAAAACTGGCTCCCTTTCTCAAAATGTATGGCGAATATGTGAAGAACTTTGACCGTGCCATGGAGTTGGTGAACACCTGGATGGAGCGCTCAACACAGTTCAAGGGCATTATCCATGAAATACAGGTTGGTCACCTGTGTTTTAGTTTAAGGCTGTCTAGACTTTGTTACAGAAAGTGCCTCTCCCTCTCCAACAAAAATCAGCAACATCTAACAGCTGAAGCAGTCTAGGGGGTGGACACAATCCTGTTACCGTTCTAACATGGAACCAGCATGTTTCCCCCTGAATTTCAAATAATATTATATTTTGAGGACTTACAGGTAGTCCTCAATTAATTTAATTTAATTAAACAATTGGTACTAGAACATCTGTCGCTAGGCTTAACATCACGTGACCGCATTGCTTAGCAACTGCAATCCTGGCAATCCTGGTTGCCACCATTAAGTGAACACCCCAGTCATTAGGTGAGGCAACTTCCTGCCAGCTTCCCACAATCAAGTCAGTGGAGAAGCCGGCAGGAAGTTGCAAGCCCCAGGCGCTGCTGGGTGGGGGAGGGA